AAAAATCAATTTTCATTTTATATTATTATTTAAATATTTTATTCTTTTTTCAAAGTAATTTAACTTTAACTATATAATCAGACATTTTAATATAAAAACTTGTATTGGCAAACAATTTATTTGTTTCATAAAAGAMCACAGACATCGAATATCTCAGTGTAAAGTTTATTGTTTGATCATTAGAAAACAGTTTAATTATTTCACAGTGTTTAAAATGATGAATTAGATTTCAAAGCTGCTGATTTCAAAAATTAAATTTATAAAATATTAAAAATTGGATGTAAAATTGCAATAATTAGGTACAATACAATGTGAATACATGGGTATTCGGGGTATTCCTAAATTCGTAAATATATTTAATAATTATTGGAAATTAATTTAAAATTGTAGAGACCTTCAAACATATTATACAACAATACCTACGATACTAATGTAATAATATAATTTAATAGGTATTTTGTTTTTTTTTGTTTTTGAAAGAACTATAATWTAAAATTATAATTAAAATAATTGAGTTCATGAAATTTTATTCATGAACCATATTAGTAGATTAGGCAATTTTTTTTTACAAGCATTACAATCATTTCCAACTTTTTATTTTTACTGTAGTGAATAATTTTATACATAATTTTAATGTATTCAAAAATACAACACTAAGGTACTATTGTATTAAATTTACGTCACAAACGTCCCGTGAAACCAAATTACTGTTAAGTAGGTAACTACATATATAAATTACTTACTATTTAGAGTGCATTAAATCATCAATATTATGTTACAACTTATAAATTTATGTATTATAATTTATAATACTCCCTAAACTTGYATTGTGTGTTGAAGCGTTCATATTTTTAGGTACCTACATGTGCACAAGCTATTTATGGGAATAAAATTAATTATTCCATTATTTCACAATAAAAACTACAAATTTGGTTTCTTTTTGYCTATTTAGTATCTATAAAACATTACTCATAGGTAATAAATATAGTATTAGTGCAGTGTCTATTACATTAACACACTTTTATTTGAACGCACACAATATTTTTTAGTAACTCACATTCATGCTATAAAAAATATTAAAAATTACAGAATAGTTGGAAAACGAATTCAATATTCAAGTGAAAAGAGTGCGAAGGATGATGATAAACAAAGTTGCCATRTTGACAGTAGACCGTCAACCACCAACAACAGGGATTTTGATTTACTCCGCAATCAAGTTATAAAGATCATGACGGAAACTTTATGGCAACGAATATTAGACAAAACTAGAATCAAAAGTGTATGCCAAAGACAATCTGTGTTAGAATCACAACAGAATTCTTCCGGTCGAATAGAGTCCGCATTAATTGTTTCATCTATACTGCCAGCAAACAGACCGTCAATAATGTTTAAATCCCGTTCAAATTTAGAAACGGTTAGCCAAACCAGTAGACCTGTATGCCAACAACAAAAGTAAATAAATAAATATATATATATTTATTAATGGGTTGTTTTAAATAATTTATTCAAAGTCATTGTTCGAAGAATTATTTCCAATGCTATTCACTTAACTGCCATTTGAATAACTTAAATTTTTATTTTCGAAGCGTCGTAACTCGTAAGTCATAACATAGAATATACACTTAAGTATATAATATTCTGTTATTTTTATTATTTTTTATACAAATTCAGTCAATAGTTATATAAAGTTATATACGATATGACTACTATTTGATATGGATAAATTAAATTAAATATTGATTATATAATTTTATTTCTTKGTCAGAATCAAAGGATATTAGCATAGTGGGTCACCAAAAATTAAAAATTCCAAAAAATAGGCTGTTCCAATAATTATAATAGAATAGAATATTTAGTAATTTACAGTCGTAGTTATTTTGTTTTTTGAATAACAGATAATACGTTTAGGTTTTTATTTGCTTCAAATATCTTAGTGTTCTGTTTCATTTTTTTCAAGAAATTTTTTTTCTTACATACCTGAGGCAAAGTTGGGTAAAGTAGCTAAATATTTTATGAATAAGTTGTCAGGTTTAAAAATTGTCTCTAAATAGACTTTCTGGATAGATTTACTATAAAATGAATCTAATTATGTGCACATATTAACCATTTAAATTAGAATAATTGATACTCTGATAGCAATATTTTATTTTAAAAATATTTTGTTTTCATTTCCAGTACCAAAAAATATAATAAAAAACCGTGGCCAAAAAGGAACGTTAATGTTTTGCCACCAATCGAAACACATCATACAGTAAGTTATCTAATTCTTAATGCATCATCTATTATAGGTGCTTTGCAGTATGACGCACTAGACACCAACAACAATAATACTATGTAGGTACCACTTTTCATGTTTTGCGTAAGCCGTACCTATATACTTAAAAATATAATTGGAATTTAATGTATACGTATCAATAACAATATAGTAAATTTATAAATAATAATAGTAGAATGTAGCTGGTTCGTTATGACGTAGGTAGGTAAGGTACTTATTTGTACCGATATTCAACAATTTAAATAAATCTGACTTACGCATTAAAAAAAAAMCCCCCACTTTGTAATATAATGATAATCATATTATAGAAGTTACCTTTATGTATAAAATATAATATATTATCAAGTTATGAAGTTCATTAATATTCCCATAACAATTTTAGTTTACATAGAAATCATTACTGAATCACATAATACACGTATACCTTGCTCTTGGGTTAGGCTATTGAATCCATTCAAACTGAATAATGAACATCATTAAACTATGAGACAGCTTTAGTAATTTAGATATTGGCCGCTTTATATGAGGTACCCTTTAAAACCATAATGCTTACAAACATTCGGTTGATTAAAAACGGTTTCATTTAATTTACGAAGGTGATGAAAATTTTAAAGCTACCTACAGTAGTAAGTATATGAACTATACATTATCTAAAATGATACATAGGTCGGAACATGGATTTTATTTATTCTATACATCTACTTTATATTCTATATTTCTATAGAGCTAACATTTTTATTTAAGTAGGTACTTACTTGTGTTTGCTGATATAACAGAAAAACGACAGTAAATGTATAATATTTTACACACCCAACACTGTTTTACACAATCCCATAGGTATTTAAAAGCTGTAGGAGAGCACAATTTTATTTGAAGGTCGTGAATAATTCATATCAGCTGTTAAAGCACGTTAATACATAACTATTGTAATCATGTAAAATATTGTGTTGTTTTTTTTTTGGACAAGTCATTATTCATTCTTACAATATGAAAATACAACTTATGAATTTTGATATATTATGTAATATATTTAACCACAACTATTTTGGTGAATTTACTATTCATTTTACGTATTAATAAAGCAT